GAATCATTCTGTATGTGACCAAGAACCAGCTTGAAATAAGTGATCTCTGTAGTAATACCAATCATTGCGAATGTAGGAATATGTCTATCATCAATCTTTTGTTTAGTTCTTTCCAATTTTATCCTCTTGGTTTTTCTCTGTTTAGTTGCAAACGTCAATGTTACCTTAGCGTTCTATTATCGGAACAGCATAAATATCGTCATTGATGCATTGTATATCTGTCAGAACGAGAGAGACTGAAAAGCAGAAGAAAAAGATATAAAATAACTTAATTAGGTATATGGATTATGTCTCAAAAGAAATAACTTAGGTCGGAATGTTATTTATATCCGTTTGTCAATCGGTATGCCAAATTTGCTTCAGAAGAAATACGTGTGGGTGTCCAATGTGATTTGAAACTCCGGAGAGAACATAAGTGAAATGCTCGTATGTCGCCGGGATGGGGGTATACCTTGACAAACCCAAGATATTGTAGATCAAGCTCAAACGAAATTCAATGTTGAATTCATATAACTGAAATCGATCGCGGTTAATCTGCATGTCCTGTCATTAGATCAGAAGAACATAACTCTGAGTTTCACAGACCAGTGAGTAGAGAACAGAATCGCGAGGACTGACAAAAATGACACCAACTGACTGGTCGACCATTGAGAGTACAAATGTATCGTGATTTGTACATACAGAAGGTTTGCTCCACGGCTTGCCCAAGAGAAGCTATTCATTTGGGTTAACCTCAAATAGAACACCGAATAATTTTACTACTGCTGCCTGTAGTCAAACGAGTTGCATTGGCACATGTATTTTTAAACTACAAACTAAATGAAATTGATCGACTTACATTATGCTCACTTAAACCAATATAAATTGCGTTATAGACAATAGCAATAAAGTAGGCCACCAATCTACTCAAGTGTTCGAATTCGGTCATCGACATCTAATTTCATCGATAATTTATGTTCTCCAGCAACCTTTGATTGGTCGTTTCCCGCTACTTGAGAATTTCTTATGCAATCGTCTATTCAGTGAAATACAGTAAGAAATAAACGCCACCGATCATAGTATCCAGGGGGGGGGGGTTGAAATCAACATATCGCTAGTTTACGTAATCAACAGATGAAGAGACTAAATACGGAATTTCGAACAGTATCATATGACACATCTAGCTAATACCGGTCACCAGATAGACAAAGGTGCGCTTAAAGTTATCCACATAGGACCCCACAACAATTTGAAGTACGTTCGACAACGTCTTTGGCAACATCAAAAGCAGCCACAATCTGAATTCGGAACCCACCTCTATGCAGATATAAGATAATAGCTGCCACATTCCAGTTCTCCTTTCCCCTCATCCTTTGTGATGAACCAAGCCATGATTCCAATCACGTCACAATGACTTAACTTGGCGTGACACATCCAGCATAAATAAAGTTTCGGAGATTTCCAAAAGTAACCTTGGTTTCTCTCTCCTGGTTATCTGCTCTTCTAGAACTTGAAAGTGAGTGTAGTTCTTTTCCACTTAGCCTAATGAAGCAATCGCGCTAGTTTTTATCTCATATGAACGTGCACATAACCGCAAATGCCCGAAGACGAAGGTATGGAAACAGACTTGTTCGTTATATTGTCCATTATAGTACAGTATTATATCGGCTGCCAATGAAATCAGGGTATTCTCCATTGATATTGATTTTGGTTATAACATACGCTCTAGTCGAGGAATAGCTTTTAGGTTGCGGGGAGTTCTTAAGTTTAAGATGAAGAAACGGCTGAGGAACAGAACAATCAATAGGAAGCTAAGTGAAAATGAAATTTCCATTATGAGATCACTTGTAAAACTCCATCTTTTGCTTATTCGTTCCGTCAAAAATCTGGAGGAAGAAACCCAAAACAGTTATTTTATTTGATCCATGTATGCCTAATTATGAATAGGGTTTAATCCTCCCGGGGTTCGTCCTGTAGTTCCCTGCCGCCGAAACAATTAACTGCAAGATAATTTTACAACAGTTGCTCTATTATTGCCAGATGAAATATTACGGACCATGTGTTCTACGAGATAAGAGTTGATCTTCGGTAATAGTCTGAAAACTGAGAGCACGTATCACACTGGGAAAGGAAGAATGAAGATGCCCGACCCCGCTGTTATTTTGCTAATGAATCGAGCCGAAACCCGATTCGATTCGTTGCATCAATTATTGCATGGTAAATAGTGAATGAATCCGAGCATCCGAGGGCGAGCGATTTCACAACGGCAACCCGGTAATAACCCCAAGGTAGCATGCTATGATCAATTACGAATTTCCTAATCACATTCATGCAATCTCATAATACTTTTTCGAACGTATTCAAAAAGCTCCCTTTGAAACTGAGGCTAAATGGGCGAAATTTTAACACTCTTTAATCGGTTCAGCAGATTTTCTTCTGCTAAGCTCACATACCGAATTCATTCATACATGGGAGTAGATAAATCACGTGATTCGATCAATAGATGCAGTCATCGAACTATTCTACCGTATACGCTCTGCGTGACCTCAGCAACGCGAAACACTTAGCAAACGGACTAGATTCTCATTCGAACCAAACCGAGAAAGAAATCTAATCCCGCAGTGAGAATATCACGAAGCGGGTAACCAGAATAGTAACCATCTAGGAGGGATTAAAAAACAGCTTTGTTGGACTTAAACACTAACCAACAAGGACTCTTATGGTGTTCGCTAGTTTTAATTACCCAAGAGCAAAAAAGGAAGAGTGACGGTTGCACATCCTGATTCAGTCTTACGAACATGATTGTAGCTATTCCGAGCTTCGATGGATAAAATTGTGAGTTCAATCGGTGGAAATAAGTGTGAGTTGTCTGACGCGGAACACGCGAGTACATGCATGGATCAGTGATGAAATAAAGGGAAAGTACTTTAATAAAGTTAAATCAAGTGTCTAATCTGCGGAATTGATCGAAATGAATACATTCAACACAACTGAACAAAAATCAGATCAGAGCAAAACAGAAAATTGAATTTTTCAATTAAGCTCTGAAAATGGCCTGATAAATACGTTTTAAGTATAGAAATCTGGAGAGCGATTTTCACCCTTCCAAATTTCCTCTCATCTGTAACGTCCAAGTTGATATGTACATCCACCCGACGAGAAAGTCGAGGTTTTCGCTTCCGGATTTGCCTCCAACTTGATTTTGCCTAATTATCTCACTCCGAGTTCTTTGTTTTTCCGTCAGAATCCCATTCCTATTTTGCGTTAGCACTAGGATGACCTGATACATGCTGCATTCCATGAAATTATGCAACAGACCCAATCCGAGCCATGAAACACCCATAGATCGCCCTAGTTAGCTCCAGCTTCACCTCATCCTTTCCGTCTTTACCTCCAGCTTTCTACTTCTTTACTTCAGGGAAACACCCTATGAATTTTCTTTTCTCTAAACACAATAACCTTTCTGATTTGAATACGTAATCCCTCGCCGCGGAAGTGAGGGGGTTAGTGACTTCAGTTTTGAAAGGTCAGTCACATCGATTTTTGTCACGGCATCGTCATTGGCTTATGCGGCTTTTAAACAGGAGCCAGGTGACCAGTCGGAAACTCACCACATCCTGATAGTGCCGCCGTCGTCTGTTCGCAAATGCTTATTTTTGAGGTATACCACAACTTATTCACAGCTAACCTTCTTTGGTGAAGGTATCTCCCTATCCACAACCCGGGGAAGCGCTTGATAGCATTTAGCTCTGCTTAACCCGAGGTTATCCACAAACATCTTGAATTCAAGCATTTTGAAACCTCCCTTCTCTCAATTTCTCAGGAAAAACACTTCCTAACTCCACCTTTGCTCTTTGAGTCCATCCAACTGAACTCCACAGACTGTTTTTCCTTGAATCACATATAGCTTTTTCATTTTACTGGTTCCCTTTTACATCATGGTTTTCTTTTCGTGCTGCACTCGAAGTTGATTTTCTATTTCAAGCCAGGCAACTCCTCGATTCAAGCTCGTCGTCTTCTACCGTACAAACCTCTTATTCGCCTTCATTTGGATAACGTAGTCACATATGTCAGATGGAGTTTTATCTTCTGTTCTTTCTTTGCTTGACCTGGTTCAAAAAAAAGTCCATTCAGTCGATCTTTACCTGTAACAAACTTGCAGCTTTTATTTACTAACTCATCATCTGGCAGATAATTCTCTGTTCCAAATCTGCTGTTACTATTTTGGCTCTGGATTTTTCCGAATGAGGCGCCGTAGTTCCTCTTCTTTTATCCGTCCGTCTGGTGCAGTGGCAGTTAGTTATCCCTATGAGATTTTAGATAGTAGGTGTCAAACTTTTCTCTTTCAATCCTCCTTGTCGCCCACACCGATAAACTATGAAAGACTCTTTCACTCTCAATATTCCTATCCACTTGAAACCCTTCCCTTTTTAAACGCAAGATCAATAAATCGGCTCTTGTGTGAATATATCCTCTCCTTCTCTTTTTAAAGTACACTTTTTCACTATGTGGTTCACCAATTTGTGCGTAATAAAACAGTATACAGTGTCTCTGTCTGTTTTTCACGGGAACCAATATAACACGATGCACTCCAAATTATCATTGTAGCCCTCTTCGCGAACGTTCTGTGACCCAAACTGTCTGGTTCCAGATTGCAATATATGGGAAAAACTAAATGATGTTACCAGGAGAAACCAATCGTACTTTCATTTGGTAGAATTGAATAGAGATAAGCTTTTGGTTCTTATTCTCGTTTCTTCTAGTTATGTTTTGAAGAGGTGAAGCTGTTTCCTCATCTGATGAAGCACTGTTATCATTAGAATTTTATACTTGAAGATTATTAACAGTGAAAGAAAAGGGATAAAACAACAAAAAGAAAGGACTTACAAGTTTGTAAATCGGGCGGAGTTCAGTGAAATTCCACATTATGTGTAATAATTGTTCCGATAGTTGGTGCGTTCGACAAATTGTCTCACGTGGCGCATCCTTTGTATCCTCTTCATTGTCCGTCCGTTGTGCGATCAAGTGCTTCGTTGCGTGGTAGATTTCCCGGCACTTTTCAATTCCACCCAACGTAGCAAAACGTCTGTGGGAAAGTATGAATCGACAATTTGCTGTAATATGTATTGTGGAGTTGTGTACTTGTGTAAGAAAAATAAATATTTTGCCGTTTTTTCCTCTGCAATCATATTCTTAAGTGCCAGGTTATCCGTGTGACGCAATATGGGCGCAACTAATTGCATCTAGGGCGCGCGATCAATGAAATTATTGCCAACTACTTGCTATCAACTCCAGGATCAGATAATCAATCACTTTTAACGAGCATTCCACATATAAGTACATTCAAGCAATGAAACCTTTTTACCAGTAACAGATTAGCACTAATATTTCTCGCATTTTATCACAAATATTCTGGTTCCGAATCCAGTCTGCATATTGTTTGCCTTCCCCGCTATTCGTGACTCAACGATTACACTGATTATCCCATAAATCTTCCTTCTGCTTTAATAAGGCGTAATGCCCTCGCATCAACTTGTCAATCAGGGTTAACAACTGAACTGTGCACTATGTTACCATCGTTATCATCATCTGTGTTGTGTGTCAGAAGTCGTCGTTCTCCATTGAAACATAACTACGCTTGACAGCTGACCCTGTCCCGATCATTGCTTACTGCTGTCGCGGACCACGTAACTGATTCACAACTAATCCGTGGGGTGCAATCAGTAAATATCAGCAGATGGTCCCATCAACGATTCCGATTCATCGACTCAACTCTAAGGATCACAAGTATGCTACCTACTTGATCATCGAACAGCTTATGAGACTGCTTCCCTCTGTCTTTGCTTTATAAAGCTGAGTGTGAGTAAACAATCTCGCTCATCTCGCTCTAACAAAATACCATGGATCGAGCAATTGTCAATGTACAGAATGTGTTACGATGTCTCCTCGAATTGTGCGATCTAGCGTGTCGTGCGCTTGCTCAACTACCTTTTTTAAGGATATCAACCGTGCACTGTTCAGACATTTCTACTGGTGAGCAATCGTAGCATTGTAGGAGAGCAGAAAATTGAATACCATGTTGGCAGAGCATTAAGACCATCTGTGCCTTCCTGGGATAAATAATTTAAGAATAAAATGTAAAGTTATAGCATACTGTGGAATGAAATTCACCTCATTAAGGATGTTTTCCATTTATTAAGATATATTTCCATCCTTCTGTTATGTAAACTCTAAATCGCTTTCCTCCTTTTCTCACAAATAGATATATTCCGGTTTTTCTGGTGCCACCCAAAGCTTATTAGCAGTCCTGCTCCATTTCGACACGACACAAGTATGTATTATCTCCTTCTGGCTCCGGATTTGTTTAGTTCAGTTGTCGCTTACGCAGTTCACATAATGTTTCGTGTAACGTTGCCAGCTGGGTATAAAAATTGCCACAAAACCCTTAAAACATTTTCTTCAAAAAAACAAACCGTATCTATATTTAAAGCAAAAACTCAACAACGCAGAGAAATCGAAACTTTTCTCTGACTGTATAGTTATGGAAATTTGATTTGAAAAACTAGAATAGAACTGTCCAAACAGTCCTGCTATTCTGAACTGAAGCATTTATTAGGCGTTCTGAATGAAAATGATGGTATTATTTGCGTAAACCAAAAACAAAATCGCCGCATGTTGCATAGATTTGAATAAAGTCAGTCCAGTGCAAACAATCGACGTAAAATGGAACCTAGGTCTTTGGGGAGGATAAACAAACACGGATCCTCGTTGCATCCGTTTCATTTTCATAAACTGGGTTCATAAATCGATCAGCGGGAATTCGGTGCTCATTCGAACGAGTGGGTGAAAAATGTGCATATTGGTCTGCATCAGTTGTTACATATAAATTGCTCAGTGTTGATCAGTATTGAGTGATCGACTGACTATCTTGCGGATTAGACAGATCAAAGTGGTATTTGGACGATACCAGGCAAACGCAAGCCGAACGATATTACGATATTACGTATGTTCAACTATCCTCTGTAGCATTATCGTTCAGTGGTTGAACAAGCCACACACATAAAAAGATATCAATAAAACTTCTCCTTTTTCCCTCTCTCTCGCTCTCGCTCTCGCTCTGTCTACTTGTGCCGCTCACATACCATTCTGCGTCCGGTTGAAAATGTTTTCGTTTGTGCACGGTTGAGTTCAATATTGAAGAGAATACCGTGAAACTCATGTGCTTCCGAATAACTGATTGTATCTGTGCTAATCGACTGGCTGGGACTGCGGTTCAACTATGATCATTAGCCGGATAATCACTTTTAGTTTTACTGCACCACACAAATCCCTAGCTGTTCTTTGCAGTGTAACGATTATGTAGATATATTTGGTTTCATGCAAATACACCACGGTGAACACACACAGAGGATATACAGTAGTAATAACAACGAAAACATGCGAATAGGTTAACTTTGGATTGAAAAAAGTTGGTTGTACGCTTGACCAACCTGGCATGTTCTATTCTCTTGTGAACAAGCACTGCGCACAACTGCAACAAGGCTGATGTTACTGAGTACGTGAGTTTTTTCGGTATGTGATCGTTCATTGTTCCGTATACACTGGACCGAACAGATTGACTCGAATGATAGTCCACACTGGTAGGCATTTGCCATTCGGGATTAGCCTCCCGTGTTGAGTGCTCCAAACTGGGAACATGAGTTGTGCAATTGTTCAATGCGGAAATAATTCGCTGAATGGCGTGTTTACCTAGTAGAACAGAGCAACGCTCATCAGTGGCCAGATTACGAAGTGCATTCGCGGTGACCAGGACGATTCGCGGTGAAGGAGCGTTCAGTAACTCGGTTAGAATGGGCAGACCGTGAAGAATTCGAATCTGGATGCGAAGGATGACAAATTAAAGGTGGAAAATCAATGGTAAAAGACCTTTCGCATTCGTGATGCAATCAATCAATTTTGGTTAGCTGGAAATAACATTTGCTCACTTTTGGTAGCGATTAGCGCATGATTATTCCTGGAGTTGATAAATATGCAACGCCAAGTAGATAGCTTCAGGCTTCTATGGATAACATGCTCCAGGTTTATGATTGAATATTGGTCGAATTCTGAGAATAAACCTCTCATTAGTTTCAGTGATCTCACTGAATCAATAATGTTTTGCAATAAGATGAGGAAAGATTGCATTGTATAACTTATATTAGTCCTTTTCACATAAGACCACAATGAAAGAACTGAGTTCTACTTTACTTTGGCCAAATAGTTGATGCGGAACAAATAATTTTGCCTGTGTAATCGTAAGTAGAATAAATCAAAAAGAAAATCTATTACCTTTGGAAAATTTTGGAAAAATTATAAGAGAAACGGTGAGAG